ACGTGTGCCTCTTATAGTCACATAGCAACATTGCCCTCATGCAGAACCAGAGCGTTCTTATATACTAACTTTAAATCCTCTAAAGTTAAAGAGATAAAACCTTAATTTGAAACATTATCAAAGCAATCCGTGCTTTATTTAGTGCCTTATAAATTGAATTGAATTATGAGTGAATCTGCAGCAGATGTATCCAGGCAGCCCATGTAGCAAGGATCTATAGCAGTATAAAAAGTACAAAGGTATTGACAAATCCGCAGATCCTTATCACTCCACGAAGCTGGCCTGTGAGTTTTTTTCTCCCATCTCGGCCGTTTCAAACTTGTCGTTGGTCTCACAGTGGCGTCTCTCGCCTGTTTCCTGTCTGGGTCCTCAGTTTGGAGGGACGGTTTGGTCTAGGCAGTGACTGGAGGTATGATGCACCTTCTGTGTCTTGACAAACGAGCATTCTGTGCTCACAGGGATATTCAGAAATTTCAGTGTTCAAATAGTCCCTTCTCCGGATCTGTGCTTTTCAATGACCTTATCCCAGAGAAGTTTAAAAAGAGAAACTGAAGCAAAATAGTTCAAATGATTAAGAATGGATGAACTTGTTTAAAACCTCGTGCTGTTTTGGCCACCTGCTGCGTTCTTGGTTCGCCTCTGTCACTGGTTTTGATCAAATAGTGTTTTGCAGATGCCCTGTTGCATTTTATTCACTATGTACTGTCTAACAGAAATAGGAAGGCTATTAAAAAAAAAGTCAGAAAGGAGCAGGGAAACTGATCCTTGTGGTCTGTGCTTCCTTGTTTGGTTCAGAACAGCAGTGTGTCTGGAAACTGGCGGCCTATATTATGACCAGCACCGCAGCTGACCAACATAGTTACCATTTTTACACAAACCTCAACTTGAGCTTTTTTCCCCTTTTTTTCTGGCTTGTAGAGTTTCTGTTTCTGGCAGTGTATTTTTAACTGGTTTAATTTCATATTAGCTGTGATTTCAGCAAAGACACCTCTCTGTGCTTCCTTTTTCACTGCTTTTCTGTTCCAATTAGGCAGCAGAAACACTGTGTATATAGAAAGTGAAAGACTTCCCTCTAAAACCATGTTCTTTTGTTTGGAAACTTGGGTAAGCACTGCAAAATAGTTGCCAAACAATTTATTTGTATTCCTAGAGTACACAGTTTGGCTAAAGTGTGCCATGGAACATTATATTCTTGGGGAATAATTTTGTAAATGATAGAACAACCAAGATAAAAGCAAATAGCAGTGGCCCGTAAAGCTTGTAAATTGTTCGATGTTGTAATTGCTTTACTCATTGGCTTATTATTTAAAAAAGAAGATGCAGCTGGGTAATATATCGACCTTATTTCTACATTTTAGATCAATAATTGTGTGAATGAAAGCTGAAACAATTAAAAATATTTTTTTAAAATATTTAATAAAATGTTAAATATTTTCTTATCTATATGCTAAAACGTTAAAAATGTGATTCCGCTTTCAAATGCTAGAGCGTGAAAAAATGTTATTCTCACTCCTAATTGCCCTTCCAGTAGTTTTTAGTTCTGCTTCTGCCACCTCTGACCCGGAAGGCACCAGCCTGCAAGAAGATAAAGTCATAAAGCTGTAGAAATCAGACTGGGGTCATTACTCCTGACCTGGCTCGAGTGAATTTTAAACAGACACCTGCTGTTGTACGTGACACGGACTTAAAGGTGGGATAACATCAGGAGTAGCCTCTGCATGCCATAAAGGGTATGATCACTCTTAAAACCCCATTCATGGTAGTAACCTGGCTAGACTGTAAAACCCTCTGTAACACTGTTGTAATTCAGGGCACTGTGGGGAATACACCTTTTGTGTGTCACCTTTGGCGCTCTCAGGAAATGTATATTTTTGTTACAATTAAAATCATCTAAAACCTTCCCTGGACTCCTAACATCCCGACAGAGCCATTTAGGTTGTATTTCAGTTCTTTTTTTTTTTTTAGGATTCTGAAAAGAGTCTTGTTGAAGATAAGTGTCGTATTGAAAAGAAAACTGTGTATGGATTTAGAACGGTTAGATTCAAATGATACAATGTGTTCATCATTACAGAGAAGGAGGAGGAGGACAATAGAACAGCAGAGAAAGTAGTCTAGTTCAGACTGTTTTTAAACGAGTGTTGTGAATATTCTGCAGCATTATCGAATTGAATTTTTAAAACTATGCAATTTAAAGGGAGCAGCCCTGCAGGAAATCAGAGTAATTAATAATAATTCCTTATACTTCTGTAGCGCTTTTCTGGACACTCCACTCAACACACTTTACAGGTAACTGGGACTCCTCTCCACCACCACCAATGTGCAGCACCACCACAAGTGCCGTTACAGAATATACACAAACTAGTAAAATTCCCAAATGATATAAAATAAGATCACTTTATTGGCCAGATACAATTTCTTGTATGAGGAATTTGTCTTTTCGCATGCACCAACTTGCTCTCCATGAGACACACAGACAGGGAGAGAGAAGCTTTGGATCAGAGTGCAGGGTCAGCCATTTATAAAGCACTCCTGGACCAGTTAGGGTTAAGGGCCTTGCTCAGGGGCCCAACGGAGTAGGATTCCTCTGCCGGCCGCAGGATTCAAACCGGCAACCTTCCAGCCACAGGCGCAGATCCTTAGCCACAGAGCCACCGCACTATAGGGTGGCTATGGTAGAGATCGGTAAGGGAATTGCGATTACAAAATTATGGATTTTCACAGTTAGTGCAAAGTGATCTATAGTGGCAGGAGGAATATACCCAATTTATCGTGTTACATAAAGCTGTACACCAAAGGGATTTCTTTATGTAGAGTCTACTGTCTTCTCAACAAAACAATGTTGGGTAACAAAAATGTTTTAAAAAAACATGCTTGGGGATAAAAGCGGTAGTTTGATATTTCATTTTTATTTTTTAAATCTTTCTAATGCAATGATAAAACCTAATCTACAATGTTTTGGTGACCTTATTACAAAAAGGATTTGAGAAGAGCAAAAAGAGAGCTTCCTTGTACTGGGGGCTTGTGCTATAAGGACAGGTTAAGGGAGCAAAATCTTTGTAGGACATTAAACGGAAATTTAGGTACGTAAAATCCCATGAACCATACACGCAGACTACTAAGGGGTGTACTGAGTTCTGTAATTAGTTATACAAGGACAAGGGTTCAAAACTGGAAACTAAAAAGATAGAATTGGAGATACTTCCTTACGCAGAGAGATGCAGATGTCTCTGCCTAGTGGTTGCAGCCTAACCTCTAGACTCCTTCACGTAATGGGTGGACAAACCAAATGAGCAGGATGGGCTCAATTTTACTGTCACCTGTTATGTTTTATGTTCCCTTATCATCCCATAGCACCTTGCTATGCTCTCCTCCGTGCCTATATTAGAATAAGACTTGGTAGCTGGTGGTTTCGATGTCATTGAAAATGTGACAAACTCCCTCTGACGAGAAACGTTAAGTTGAATTTTATTTCGGAAAGACCAAGACTGGTAAGTTGTAAGGGGTTTTTCATTTTCTTAGTCATCATTCTGAAGTTATGGAGGTCTCTCAGGCATTTCAATTTTATATGGGATCATTAGGACACGTTCACCAATCTAGTCGGCCTTGTCATTCAAGTCCAATGCTTGGAGGCAGATGCTGAAGGTGAGATTTAATTACATGCTACTCATTGCCCTGCAAAAGTGTTCTCCTCTTTCCAGTAATGTCCCAATTTGTTTAATAATAATAATTGCTTACACTTATATGCGCTTTTCTGGACACTCCACTCAAAGCGCTTTACAGGTAATGGGGACTCCCCTCCACCACCACCAATGTGCAGTCCCACCTGGATGATGCGACGGCAGCCGTAGTGCGCCAGAACGCTCACCACACATCAGCTATCAGTGGGGAGGAGAGCAGAGTAATGAAGCCAGTTCAGAGATGAGGATTATTAGGAGGCCATGATTGGTAAGGGCCAATGGGAAATTTGGCCAGGACGCCGGGGTTACACCCCTACTCTTTTCGAGAAACACCCTGGGATTTTTAATGACCACAGAGAGTCAGGACCTCGGTTTTACATCTCATCCGAATGACGGCACCTGTTTACAGTATAGTGTCCCTGTCACTATACTGGGGCATTGTGACCCACACAGACCGCAGGGTGAGTGCCCCCTGCTGGCCCCACTAACACCTCTTCCAGCAGCAACCATAGTTTTTCCCAGGAGGTCTCTCCCATCCAGGTACTGACCAGGCTCACACCTGCTGAGCTTCAGTGGGCTGCCAGTGGTGAGTTGCAGGGTGATATGGCTGCTGGCCATAGATCTAATACATATTTTTAAATGAATATTTTTGAATACTCCATCTTATGTGAAATACTTAAACTTAGGGTGGAAAAGCAGTTAAATGTTTGTAAAAGCTGCAGGGATACACGTGTTAGTTGCCTAACTCTTCACCTCCCCATGTCAGTGCTGCTGGACGCACCTTACAGCAGTTACAGCTCTGAGTCACCTTGCAGTTTTGCACACGGTGCTGGCACCATTTTTGCCCATTCTTTGCAAATTTAAACTGTTTTATTAGGTGTTTAAAAAGAACATTGCAATCAGAAGTCTAGCTAAGGGAGAGAAAGTATGATTATTAGATATTTTCAGTGAAATTATAATAATTACAACTTAATTAGGAAGTTCAAAGAATATATTTGTTTTTTTTCATTAATGGTTTATTACAGGTGAACTTTTCATTGTTCAACCGTATTTATAAGTTTAAAGAAAAATTAGTGAAGCTGTTTTCTTACAGTGTTGATTTAAAATGTTGAAAGCTTTGTGCTAATATGGTTACTTTTTTTGAGCAATTGTTCAACCTTGACTTTTGTCAGTGTTAAGTACATCTACTTTACATTTGTTGAATGTAGGGAGAAATGTGGAAAGGTTTAAAATGAGTTCCAGTGTTAGCCCACTTGCTAGATAAAAGGGATTGTTCCCTTTCACTGTTTGCAGTTTTCACTCATGAACTGTCCTGCCTTCCAGGTTTGTGAGCAGCTTGTACGCCCCCTGCTGGCCGTGAGCAGGCTGTTGCACTGCCAGGTGCAGGAGCTGACAGCCCTGCTTCAGAGGAAGGACGCGGAAATTCAAGATTACCGGGAGAGTGGGGTCTCGCTGAGCCGAGGTGAGAGCTAGTGGTAGGCACAGCGCTGTCATTCAGACGTGGGTAAAGGACAACACTTGTTGATCTTTTTTTACTTTGTTCAGTTTTGGGATTCTTCTGCCTGTTTGGTAAAAAATACGCTTGGCCTCTGAAGCTTGCTGCTGTACCCCATTGAGTGCTGAAACTTTTTTAACCCTTTTTTCCCCACCAGGAGTTTTTTTTTCCCATTTTGAATGAATGGGGAAGGGTTTTATATACAGTCAATGCAATGTTTTCACTTTACATTTAACAGGTGATCCCTATAGCGCTGGTTTGTTTTGTAACTAGTATCCTGTAGTTTTCAAACGACTCCTAATGGTTGCCTATCACTTACCACACCATCGGAGATTTAACAAGAGTAGAAATCCTTATGTAATTAGACTATTGAATTGGTGTGAGATTATAAATTAAAATATTTTAAATTTTACATATCATCTTTTAAACATTTGTGCTGAAAAACAAACTAGATTATACTAACTAGTTTATATATATATATTTTTTACTTTAGGCAGTTACCAGTTTTTGATGGGTGCTACCCTTAAACCCTTAACTGTGCGAAGACAGGCTGTCAGACTGCTTCAGCTCCTCAGGTGGCAAAATGCACAAAGCCTTGTCAGAGAGCACCTTCATCAGATGGGTGACTCATTATAATTGCACAATCCCTCACTTGATTGCACCGACATTGGAAGGACAGCACAGATCTGCAGGACTTGTCTTAAACACACAGACAGCAGGGACATCGTTTAGTTTTTGTCAAGGTTTAAAAAGCGCAGACCCAGGTTCCTTGTCGGTCCTCAAAATGGACATTTTCATTTAATAAATAAAGATCACAAATGATAGGTGTCCATGTGGCCCACACAGCCTGCTTGATTGCCAGCACTTATAGGATCTGGGTGTCTCATCCAGCCATTTCTGGAAAGACACCAGGGTAAGAAAAGATAAGATCACTTTATGGGCCATATACAATCTCTTGCATTAGGAATTTGTCTTTTCGCATACCCCAGCTTGCACTCCATGAGACACACTGGCAGAAAGACGGGGAGAGAGAAGCTTGGGGTCAGGGCGCAGGGTCAGCCATTTATACAGCACCCCTGGAGCAGTTGGGGTTAAGGACCTTGCTCAGGGGCCCAATGGAGTAGGATTCCTCTGCTGGCCGCGGGATTTAAACCTGCAACCTTCCTGCCACAGGCGCAGATCCTTAGCCACAGAACCACTGCTCCACCGTTTAAACATTCCCTTTTTGTAACTGTTTGCCTCCCTGTCTCAATGTTATAAGTGTTAAAGCTGGTGCATGTTAAACTGTTTTAAAGGTCCGTTGGGTTGACTTTGTCAGTACCATTGAGGATTTTGAGCACACCAATCAAGTTGCTCCATAGTTTTCTCTGTTCAAGATCAGTTCTTTCCATCTTTTTGATATCTTGCCTCAGCACATGACAGTGTTATTAAAGGCAGTTATTGTCTCATATTGAACTGCTCCTTTTGCGCTGGACAGTTCTGCCTTATAGTTGTAGCATTTGTGCAAACGAGTGTTTAAGGTAATAGTAATTTAGTTGTGACTCTTTAATAAGTTTGACTTGTGGCTTTCAATTAACAGGTCGCTTGGAAACTGAAGTGTTTGTAGAGCAGCACTACGTGGAGCATTTCCTTTCTGAGGTGAGAAAAAAATAAATCCTTTTTTGTTGTTTACGAAGGAGTTTGGGGAAAAAGTCTGCAGTCTGCACTGGTATAAGCAAAGCTCATAAAAATACTTGTGAATAGAATCTGTGTAGTCCTCTGATTTCTGCCAATAGGTAGGCCTCTCATGTTTTGCAAAGGGCTTAAATTAATTTGGCAGTTATGTTCTGCATACATTGATTAAAATATAGAATGACAGCGATTTGTATTGGTCGATGTTAATGCCTTTATGTTCATTGTATGTTTAGATCTTTACTCGTGGGTACTGTATATAATTTCATACTCCCCTCAAAGAAACACAGTTGCTTTTCTTTAGTAGTAGTGTTTAATGTTCACTAAATAAGGAATTTTCACTTTTGCTCTAGGGAAAAGAGGTTCAATGTTAAATAGTATATTGGATGTTATTTTTTATCTGCATTTAAAATTAATGCAAATTTGGCATATTAATGGAAAGATGTGCATTCTACATTTAGGAATTGCAGTAAAGCTGTAAAGCAGTAGTTCTCCATCCTGACCATGAAGTACCCCTGTCATTTTTAGTCTTCATTACAGTTTAGTTTAGGTAAGCTTATAGAACCTTTAGCTGAGCTGTTTTTGAAAATGATGCTTAGTATGGGAGTTTCTGATGCAGTATCATTCTCACCTGTTATCTGTACCTTAAATACTAACCTGTTAGGAGGTGTTCAGGAAACCGAGAGTGAATTTAAAATCTGATGCAATGTTTTTTGGAAATAATACGCATAAGAGATTATTTCTGAATCTAAGACAAACAAGAAATTAAGTATTGAATTATTTAATCACAATCCACAACAAACTCCAGTTGACAAAGGGTTACTCCAATATGGTGGAAACACTGTTTGTCCTTATGCAACTTACTGTATATAGTTCTTGTGACTTTCTGTGCTAGGGTCTTCACTTCGTTTGCAAAAACGTGAGACATTGTGCAGTATGTGGCGGTTTATATTTGAATTCTCGTAAAAGAGACGAATACCCAAACCTACGGTAAGCCCCCACCTGTGAAATTGACTTCTGCACAAAAACGTTTCAGATTTGCAGAAATAAAAGCACGGGCTGTCCTGTGGTATAGCACTAAAAAAGAAGGTTCCTGGAGCTTTTGATAATATGAAGAATAAATATGTGGAAATGTGAAACAGAGCCTGCTTTGGTTACGGAGGAAGAGTGCTGCTTTGATCAAAGCCTCTGCATAAAATGGAGGCACTTGTGTGCTTTTTTTACCAAGGTGTAGTTTTGAGGGTTGGGGGTTGCTGTCATCGTCAGCAGTGTCCTTCAGACTGGAAGGGCAAGAAGGAAGCCCAGATAAAATTATCCTAGGCTGGGAAGTGGTTGGTGAATAGTTCATCTGTTTACATTTACGCTGTTCACAGTATCTTTTTGTGTGATATTCTGCGATGACATGAAAACAGTCCTTATTTATCATAGTGCATAAGAACATAAAAACCGAAACGGACAAATAGAAGCCCACTTGACCTGTCTAGACTGGCTGGCTGACTGGTCGTAGTGTGCTTGTGGGTAAAAAAAATGTAGGTTTATAATTACGCATTTTGGGTTTTAACAGGTTGGGCCTGTTATATTACAGCTGTGGGAGAGTCTGTGCCATAAAGGTGAAAGTTGTTCTGCGAGATAACCGTGTGCCTCTGTTTTCAGGTACTTGCTGTGCTATGGCTCTATTTTCGGTTCAGTTTTTTATTTATGCTTTCTCAAAACTTGCTGTGGGTCTACCCAATCATAATCTAGATCCCGGCTGAAACACGCTCATTAGACTATATATTGATTTATACCCTTTTGTCATTAATGTGGTGCATATACTGTAGGAGTCATAGTCATATTGGTAGTCTTTAGACCAAGCTAGAAATTCTAAATAAGCTCTGAAATATATTAGGCAAGCAAAGTGGGGGGGAAAAAAAGTATATTTTTGGGGGATACATTTTATTGTAGCCAAGTAGAGCTTTGTGCTCTGTTAACAAACTTAAGAAAAAATGCTGAATGAAGGTTTTCTGTGTTTTTGGCAGCATTTATTTGCAATGGAGGTGCCCAATCGACGGTTCCTTGTACTGCTCTAGTAGTGGTGAATTTAATTTTGGCGTTTTATTTTAAACCCGGAAATATTTTTTTTTGTGGGAATTGTGTTTTTTATCACCAAACTCTTGTAACCTTTCTGATAGCTGATGGCAAGGTGGGGAGTACACCCTAGTAGGAGGTGATAATCACGGCTGGCCCCTGGCTTCGGCCAACTAGGTGGCTGCCTAGGGCCCCAAGGCCACCAGGGGGCCCCCTCAATGTGCAACACAACACAATTGTGTTCAAGCAGTTCCCTCCAGTGTGCCTTCCTATTGCTGCTGTCCTGATCTAGGTTGTTAAAGTTTGTTCGATATAAATTGTAATATTAATTAATTATAATATATTATTAATATTATTAGTTGTGAAATGTAAGTGTAGTATTTGATTTCACTGATGTAGTAAATGACTCTCATCTTTGCCGAAAAATGACAATATCGGCGTGGTTTGAGCTGCCGCTGCACTGAATGCTGCGTGTTTCATTTCAGGAGGTAGTAAATGTAATGAATCATCAATAAAATTACTCGTCACAACATCCGACATGCAATGAAACGTTAAAAGTGACCTTTTATTTCCATAACAAACCGTGTTGTAACGGTTAGAGATTAGAATCCTGTGGTCGCAAGTGGTAAACATACATCTACCTCCAGAAGGACATACCGGTCAGGCACAGAGAGAAGGAAGAGCCAGATAAGCGATCTCAGAACAGAGCTAGGCCACTGTAATCATGGATTTGTGTTTCATTTGGTTGTG